GTGGGTTTGGGGGGTGTCAGGGGGAGAGGGAAAGGGGATGGGAACCCCCCGATGTTTAAGGTGAGCGTCCAGGGGGGCAGCCTTTGGGGGGACCCGATATCAGGGGGGTCTGGAGTGGTGCAGGGCTGGTGGAAGGACAGGGGGGTCCTTCTGCGGTGAGTGCCCACCCTGTGCCCCCACCCTGAGCACCCACCCTGTGCCCCCAGCCCTCTGAATTTGGGGTGGGGGCTTTGGGGTGCTGCTGGTCACGGCCGACTCCTCGCCCCGCAGCCGTCAGGGTGGTCGTGCGACCCTCGGCCGAGGTGGCGGAGGGGACGGAGGTGACCCTGACGTGCCAGGCCCCCCGCGCCGCCCCCGGGTCGCCGTACAGGTGGTTCAGGAACGGGCAGTGGCTGGCCGAGGGACTCGCCGCCTCCCTGGGGCTCCGCGGCCGCCGCTCCGACGCGGGACTCTACTCCTGCCAGGCGGGCAGGGGGCACCGGGCCCCCCCCGCCGCCCTCAGGGTGCTCTGTGAGTGAGGGGCGGCTGCCTTCGGGGGTCGGGGGTGGGGGACACCGCGGGTCCTACTGGTGCACGGGACCCCCTCGGGGGGGCCGCTGGCCGGTCTGTGTCGCCACCTGGTGACACCCCGCGACACGCCGCGACATCCCGGCCCCTCCCTCGGGGAGCGGGGGGGTCCCGGTCTGCCGAGCATCGCGCCCCCTCCCCTGTCATTTGTCACCCCCCGGCCCCCGCCGGCCGGTGCCACGCCAGCAGCGGGGCGAGGGGGGGACACGGGCCGTCCTTGTCGCCGCAGACGCCCCCCAGGAGCCCACCTTCACCTCCCTGCTGGACCCGCGGGGGGGGCGACAGGCCGTCCTGCTCTGCTCCGTGGACAGCTTCCCCCCCTCGGAGCTGGCCGTGAGCCGGGGGCCCGGGCAGCCCCCCCTGGCCTCGTCCCGCGGCCCCTCGGCCCCCGGGCTGGACGTGCGGGCCTCGCCCAACGCGCTGCGGGTGGGGCTGGGGCCACTGGGGCCGCGGGACTCGGGGCTCTACCTGTGCTCGGCCAACAACAGCCACGGCACCGCGGCCGCGGCCCTGCAGCTCCACGGGGCAGGTGAGGGGGGCCCGAGCCCCCGGGGGGGATTTTGGGGGTGGTGTCCTGGGCATTCCTCCACTCCCCGTCTCCCCCCTGCCCCGCAGGGGTCTCGGTCACGGTCGAGCCGTCGCCAGAAGTGCCCGAGGGCAGCAGAGCCACCCTGACCTGCTCGGTGCCCCCTTGGTGGGGCGAAGGTGCCAACTACACGTGGCACAGGGACGGGCGGTGGCTGCGGGAGGGACCGTCCCCCTCCCTCGTCCTGCCCCGCGTCTCCAGCGCCGACTCGGGCTCCTACGGCTGCCTGGCCAGCGGGGCCTGGGGCACGGCCAGCTCGGCCCCCCTCGGCCTCAGCGTCCTCTGTGAGTGTCCCCAGCCCCGCCAAGGGCAGCGCTGAGCCCCCCAGAACCCCCAGCCCGGTGTCACACGTGTCCCCTCCACACGGGCGAGGGACCGTCCTCCTCTTCCTCCTCCTCTTCCTGCCCTGCCCCTCTCCCTTTGGAGCCGGGGAAGGGGAAGGTTTTTCCAAGGATTGGCCCCTCTAAAGTCAGATTTGGAGCCGAGATAGGGGGATTCTCCAGTTAGGGGGGAGAGAGGGGCTGGAGAGCACGGGAGGCCACCAGCCCTGGGGTGGGTGGGGTGGGGATGATCCGGGCTGGAGGAGGGGTGGGTTGGGCAGCTCTTGGTGACCCAGGGAACAGGACACGGGTTTTTAACTAGGACTGACCCCTCAAAAGACAAATTTGGACCTAAAGAGCTCCAAGTCAAGGGGATTCTCCAGTCATGGTGGGGGGGAGCAAAGGGCTCCAGAGAGTGGGAATCTGCCAGCCCCGGGTGATCCAGGCTGGGGGAGGGATGCACTGGTCAGCCCTCGGTGACCCAGGGAAGGGGACATCGGGTTTTTTTCGAGAACTGACCCCTCAGAAGTCAGACTTGGAGCCAAGGGGGGATTCTCCAGCTGGGGGGGAGAGAAGGACTGGACAGCTCAGGCAGCCACGAGCCCTGGGGTGGGTGGGATGGGCTGACCCAGGCTGGAGGAGGGACGTGTTCAGCAGCCTTTAGTGCCCGTCCAGGCCAGTGTGGGGTTTCCCACGCCGTGACCCGCTGCCGCCCCACCTCTGCCCCGCCAGACCCTCCCCGGGACGTGTCCGTCAGCACCTTCCTGGAGAACCGCGGCGGGCGGGCGGGCATCGTGCTGTGCAGGGTCGACAGCCACCCGCCCTCCTCCCTGGCCCTGCTCCACCAGGGCCGGCTCCTGGCCTCCAGCCCGGCCCCCGCCGCCACCCCGGGGGTGCGCGGGGCCCCCTCTCACAACTCCCTGCGGGTGGAGCTGGGGGCGCTGGGCCCGGGGGCCGCCGGGCGATACCTGTGCGTGGCCACCAACGCCCTGGGCAACGCCACGGCCAGCGCCCACTTCGACGTGAACAGTGAGTGGGAGGGACCCCGGGGGCTGGGCAAGGGCCGGGAAAAGGGCTCAGGGAAGCAGCAAACGGAGCTGGGGGCTGGGGAGGGTCCAAAATGAGGGAGGAGGAGCCGGCTCGGGGTCAGCAAACAGCGGGATGTGGGGGCGCTGCTTGGGGCTGTGCTGGGGACACCCCCTGTGCCCAGGGGACACTGCCCCTCCTGGGGTGGCACCCAGCATCGTGCCAGCCTGCCCAGCCCTCAGGGCAGGGGACAGCGAGGTGTGCAGGGACAGCTGGTACCAGTGGGGTCCCAGTGGGGTCCCAGTATGGAGCCCGTGACCCCCCCATGTGTCCTCACCCCAAAGACTGGCTGTCCCCACCCCTCCGGACCTGGTAGTGGCACCACCTGCAATCAGATGTCCCAGACACCACCCCAGGGTCCCCTTCACCCTTCATGAGTCGCCCCAAGTCCCAGTAGGGTCCCAGCTTGGTGTCTGTGATCCCCTGTGTGCATCCTGGACCCATTGAGTGGCTGTTCCCAACCTTGAGGACCTGGCAGTGGCACCAAACCCCCCCCCCTGCATTTGGCTGTCACAGCCACCACCCCAGGGTCCCCTTCACCCCTCGGGGGGCACCCCAAGGTCTGGGGGTGGGGGGTTCCACGTGCACTGACCCCCTGCTGTGGGGATGTGCCCACAGCCCTCACCCACCTGCAGACCTTCACCATCCTGACTGGGCTGCTTGTGGCCCTCGTCTGTGTGGCCACCCTGGGCCTGCTGGCTGTGAAGATGTGGCCCAGGTAACGCCCTGGTTGGGGCACAGGGGGGGACAGGGAACCAAGGGGGGGACAGGGACCCTGGGGGGGAGGGACAAGGAACTCAGGATGGGACAGGAACCCTGGCATCAGGACAGGACCCCTGGTGTCACAGCAGGTACCCCAGGGCGGGAGGACAGGAACCCCGGGGTGGCACAGGGACCCCAGGGCCAGGGGACAGGGACCTTGGGGTGAGAGGACAGGGATCCTGGGGTGGCACAGGGACTCCAGGGTGGCACAGGGACCCCAGGGTCAGGGGGACAGGGACCTTAGGGTGGGGCCCAGGGATCCTGGGGTGGCACAGGGACCCCAGGGTCAGGGGACAGGGACCCCTGGCATCAGGACAGGGACTCCAATGGCAGGGCAGGTACCCCAGGGTGAGAAGACAGCACCCTCGGGGGCAGCAGGGCTGGCAGCTCCCTGTCCTCCCCCAGGATCAGGAGGTTTCGGGGCTGGACGGGTGCCGAGGACACCCTGGAGCTGAGGAGCAAACAGGAGCCAGCACAGGTAGGGAGGGACCCCGGAGGGGTCAGTTCTGAGGACCCCCCACCCTGAGCTCCTGAGGGGCCCCTGGGGGGTCCCCGGTGTGGGGAAGGGGATGTGGGTCTGGGATCTGACCCAGTCAAGCTGCCCCAGGTGCCACCACAGCCTTGGAGCCCAGGAAGGGGCAGGAGGGGCAGAACCTTGTGAGGACCCAAAATACCCCTCCCAGGCTCGTCCCAGAGGGGCTCCACAGCACAGACAGTGCTGACCCCTCTGGGGGTGCTCTGGGTGCTCCCCTGGCCCTGCCATGGACGGGGTGTCCCAGCCAGTCCCAACCTTTTCCAGGTGGATGGAGCATCTTAACCCGGTGGCTCTTGGACCCAGGAGCATCTGTGGCATCTGTTGCTGGAATTTCATGATCCTGGCCTGGCTGGATCCTGGTAGCCCCCCCTGGGGCCCCCCAGCCCTATCCCAGCCCCTGCCAGCCCCATTCCATCCCCTGCCAGCCCCACCGTGCCCCTCATCCCTCCCCAGGGGATGTTGTTCTCACGTGGGGCAGGGTTTGGGCTCACCACGTCACGTGCCAGGCCGTGCAAGCTGTGACTGCCCAGAGCTGTGAAATCCTGGAAAGACAATAAAACCAGATCTCCCGGTGCTGGTACGAGCCTGGGGACACCCTTTCCACGGTCACTGTCCTGTCCCCACGGCAAAACCACCACCCGGGGTGGTGGGACATGGGGGACGTGCTGCCCCGAGACAGCCCAGGGTCACAGCACCCCTTTCCCTGGCATCCCTCCTGGGGAGAGGAGGGCAGAGGTGTCCCCAGGCCACCCGTGTCCCCTCGGTGCCCGGGAAGGGGCGGGGGAAGGAGGAGCCGGTCCTGTCAGCCCCGCGTTGCCCCAGGGGAGTTGGGGTGGGGACTCCCCTTGCGGGATCGCAGCCCCCCGAGGCAGGGGCTGGGCCGTGTCCCCTCCTGGTCCGTGGCCATTAGAGGTCACTCTGCGGCCACCTCAGCACCGGCCACGGCCTCGGACGCGGGTCTGCAGCCGGACGGGGCTTCCGAGTGTGGAGCTGGAGCTTCCCGAGCACGGCTGGGGGGGCTCAGGGCTGAGGGGGGCCGGGGCTGAGGGGCTTGATGCT